TCCCACTTTGGGGCATTTACCCAAATGTTCACAAACAAGACTACACTAAAGCTACCAGCACTATGTTTATTGCAGCCTTATTTACCATAGCTAAGATATGGAACCAACCCAGATGCCCCTCAGTAGATGAATGGATCATGGACTTTCTTGCCCGCACTGGCTTTGAACTGTGATCCTCAGATCTCAGTCTCCTGAATAGCTAGGATTACAGGCGTGAGCCACCAGTGCCCGGCAGGATAGCTATTCTTTAACCATTGACTTGTCTGGGTACTCTTGTCAAAAATCAAGTGATGGGAAATGTAGTGTCTATTTCCACTTCTCAATTATATCCTATGTATTTGTGGTCTAATATTATTTTCCTCATCACACTACTATAACTTGAAAGTAAGTGCTGAAGTTGGGAAGTGGGAACCTGCATCTCTATACTACTTTTCCAAAATTTCCTGGCTATACTGGCTTTCTTGCATTTCCAAATGAATATTTAAAAAGAACTTATCAATTTATTTAAAAAAGCCATTTAGAATCATGACTATAACTTAAAATATTTTCAACATTATTTTTAAACTACACATTCCCTACAAAAAGGATAAAGCTCATTGTTAAATTGTCTAAAGTATTTTTTTCTGAATATGACTTATTTTTATTGGTTTAGCAATCAGGAAAGTAACTGGACCAGGAATAGGTGAAAGTTCAAATGCTTCCTTCAAATGTGCACAAAAGGTGTAATTACTCAGGGGGGAAGTGATTCAGATAGGAAAAACAGTATAATTATCATTTCAATAACCCAGAGGAAGTGACTGGAGAAAGTAGAAGAACAAAGTATACATAGCTTAGAAGTCTAGGGTTTGGAGATATTGCTAGATTGCTAGTTTCTGGAAAATATAAATATGCCATAGAGCTATATGTTATATGATTGATTATGTAAAACAAGTCAAAATAGGTAAATGATTAGATAATGAGTCATCTACTACTGATTGCATCATTACAATTGAAGACTTTTATATGTTGAAAATTTAAGTGATATTATATAAGATATAAAAAGCAAACAAATGAATTCATGCATCTCAAATTTAAGGGACACTATAGTCTAAGGTGGACTTCTTAGGGAAATCACTGACTAGAATGTAAAGTCTCAAAGATTATTAAAAAAAGAAAAAAATATGATTTTGCACAATGAGGAATGGGTGTTTTTATATACATGTTCTAGGTGTGTTGGCAGGTACTTCAACAGAACTAGAAGACTGGACTAATTATAGGAACCAGCTTCTATCTACTAAGTCTTGTATTTTATAGCAGATGTTCAGAAACATTTAGAAACTCTGGGATTTTGATGCCATATTAGTATTACACTAATAACTTACTCATTTGTATAGTCATTTCATTTATTCATTGATGCAAATTGTTACTGATCCTCAATTTGATTCAATCTCTAGCCAAGGCAATGGGGGAAGAAGGGTTGATTCATGGAAAGATTCTCAATAGAGCAAGCATCTAATGGAAATCAAAATGAGGGAAGATAATAATAAAACATGACAATGGTCATAACAACCTTTCCTGTGACATGGGGTAAATGGAAAGGAAGAGGAAAACCTTCCAGAGAATGGGGCATTTAGAAAGAAACAAGAGAGGAAGTTATGAGTAGGTAACACCAGAATTTGTACTCCCAGGACAGCAAGGTGTGTACTGCATACAAATGTTCAGCAATACTGCATTCTTAGGAAACCTCAAGAATTCACTGGAGTGATGTTATGTGTGAGGGTGTAAAATGAACAGAAAGTAGTAAACAATGAGATTATGAAGGATTTTGTATGCCATACAAAGATTAAAATGTAATCTCCTGGAGTTCCACTGGGAAACTTCAACTGATGTTACACAATCAGACTTACTTGAAAGGCAGTGCAGAGGGCAGATCAGGCAAGAGTTAGGCCACAAGTCAGGTCTGAATCTCAGTGAAAGGCCAAATTAGAGCTGCAGCTTCAAACATGGGGCAATAGACACAACTACGAGAGTCAAGGAGACCTGATGACCAGTCACAACAGGATGGAAAGTAATTGATTGACTGCAAAGATTGAATGTCTATCCAAATGCTCTAAGGTGAAAACTTTGTTCCAGTATGATGGTATTAGGAAGTGGAACCTGTGGAAGATAAGTCATAAGGATGAAGCCCTCATGAATGGGATCATGGCCCTAAAAAGTAGATCCCAGCAGGCAGCTGAGATCTGAGGATTTTGGTTTGAAGCCAGCCAGGAAAATCAGTGAGACCTTCATCTCTAACCAGTAAAAATCTGGAAGTGGAGGTGTAGCTCAAGTGGTAGAGAATTTAGTCCTGTGCAGAAAAGCTAAGAAACTGCCTGGAAGTAGTACTCACACACACACACACACACACACACACGCACGCACGCACGCACACACACACACACACACACGGTAGAGAAAAGAGCTCTTTCATTCACTTTTCACCATGGGAGGATACAACAACAAAGATAGCAGTCAAGCCTGAAATGAACTTCACCAAACCTGACCATGCTAGAACTTGATCTTAGACTTCCAGCCTCCAGAACAGGGAGAGATAAATTCTTGCTTATAAGCTCCATAGTCTATAGTGCATTGCATTAGCAAGCTCAACCAAGACATCTACTATAATCTCAATTTTCCTACTCCTTATGAAGGTAAAAGGTGTTCATCAGTTTGCTTCATTTCTAATATATGTTTACAATAGATTAATATACCAGAGGAGACAGGATTTTACGTTATCCTTTTTGAGTTAAAGGTATTACATGAACTACAGAACTTGTAGTTTTTAACTTTCCTTAAACCAAATCACAAGTATAAGTGAGTGCACCTGTAAACAGTGGTATTGTGAAAATAAAATACAAAAGCATGATTTTCAGTGTAGGGTTGTCCTTACTTTGTTCTTTGTACATTTCAAAGTATATATAAGGATTATTACATGAAAAGGGGAAAATAGAAATTTGATATAGACAGAAAAATGTAGTCATAAACACTTAGTAAAGGCAAGCACCACCAGGAAAACATTTCTCCCATTCAGGGATAAAGGATGAGCTACATGTGATAAAGACTGTGTGGTCAAGACAATGACATTGCCTGGACTTCTGAGCCATTGGGAACACATACTTTACCAACTCATTGTGTTTGCTCCAAGAAATCAATGTGATGAGATAGCTGAGTAATTGGTCATGAGTCAGGCAGTCCTTATGCTGGTTCCACTTATTCACTTGCAATGGGAGGTAGAATTTCTGTCTTTAGAGAGAAAATGTTACTCTCAACATGTCATAAGAAAACAAAAAGATGAACTTTAAAATTACAAGAGAAAGAAGGTAAGCCTATGCAACTGTTAGAAATACTAAACACTTCAATGGGACATTTACTGTAATGTTTCAGTTTTTACTATACTAGTGACACTTGCAAATGGCCAATGTATTGCATGTCTATTAAGCATAGTTAAGCTATGCTTTTATAAGGCTGAAACAAATCAACAAGGTGGAGAGAATGAGAAAGATCATAAGCTTATTTTTTTTTATTGTTTTGTCATGTGGTAAGAGGATGGGTAGGATTACAGGGTATAACAGGCACAGAAAAAAAAAACAGATCTGGAAGGGCAGTCTGTAGCTAACACCTGGATATGATCATTGGCCATCTCCAGGTACTGAAAATGCCTGTCACCAGGAGATTTACACCTGGAACTGAGAAGCCATGCCTTGAAGGGTGCTATGAAAATTATTCTAATCCATATCAATTATGATTTGTAATCCTTTTAGTGGTTGCTCTTGAAAATAAAAAAAAATAAAGGCCAGAAGTTGATGAGATTTCCTCAATTTCATGTTGTCATGTAATAACTTATTACAAAAGTCACAGGTTACTTTATGACAGGTGCAGTTTAATTAATCAGAAATCATTAAGACCAGTGAAGGAAAGAAAATTACTGTTCCAAAATAATAGGAAGATGTATCAGGCTTGGACTCTAAATAGTTCCTTTTTCTATGGCCTTTTTAATTAATTTGAGTTTTGTATAATAAAAACCTTGGTAACACAAAATTTCAGCATTTTCATTTTCTCAGGATCTAAACATGAGATGAAATGCGCGCGTGTGCATGTGCGGGCGTGCACGCGCGCGCGCACACACACACACACACACACAATTTTTCCCCAAAATAGCCACATTCTTTTATTCAATTATTCAATACATTTTTAATTCAAAGAATCACCACACAACCTAGGCACAATATTATGCATTTTACAAGCAAAGTATTTTACTAATTTTCATGTCAATTGCCAAAGAGTACAATAAGTGAACTAGTTAAAGGATATGCTTCTGTACATAAAAATAATAATGTATTTATACAAGTGTATGGAACAGAGTTCAAAGGTAAGAAAAACCCTAGCATCTCAATAAATAGGATGTGTTCCTATAGCACAACATGCTTTGTTAGGAAGTCGTCCAGTCAATTTTATCAAGTGCTTTAAGTTCTCCTGAGCTAAGTTTCTATTTCCCCCAAGAACAGGTTACATTAATAATGACTAAATCTGAATGTCTACTTTTCATTAATTGCTGTTTATTTGCATCTTGATGGCAGAGATGGAAGAAAGGATAATTTAATCGTTTCCCAAAAATCTTTGTGATTTACCAGTTCTTTTGATTTCCCACTTCCATATTTTAAAAATGTAGATTAGTCTAAGCTCAAGCACCATACAAGAGGAAAAATACATGTTTTTGGCAGAGCAACTATATTTTATATCACCTTTGTCCCTCTGGCTATAACAATTCTGTTTAGAAAATAAACATTGCAAAGCTAAAATAATTGATCTATATTGTCATAAAAAAGAATATTAAATACCTTTGGTAAAAATAGATATATTTCACAAGATTAGAAAAGCCAACAGTTATAATGTCAAAAGAAGAAAATAAAAATGTACACATTAAAACACATGAACCAACTTATGAATAAAATGAAGGTAAGGCTACTCTTCTTTTCTTCGGGTTCTCCTCCTTTGAACCCTAAATGTAGGTCTCTTTTTTCCAAATGGTTGATGTTTGAATAAGAAGTATGGAAAAATCCAGTCTTTCCAATGGCACCAGTTTAAACTGTAGCAACATAGTTCCTCTTCCAAAACTAAGTTTAGAGAACATAGAGTATTCTGGTTTATTTATGCAAATATAAAGGGAAAATTCTAGATTTCCTATAATTTTAGGCCCACAACATTGGGTTTTTGTGTTAAGCAGGGCAAATAAGTCAGATGCTCATTTGTACAGGTTTTTCTTTTACTGACATTAACCTAAGCCACAACAGGATAAAATATAGAATGTAGCTAGTAAAAAAAGAACACAGCAACTCTGTCAGTGGCTAGTGATCGATAGACATTTAGTTTTAATTTTCCTCATGATTTGCAGACTTGTTCTGTAATCCTTTGGGCCTCTTCTCTGAAGTTCTTCTTCACAACTCCTAACTCCACTCCTCTTGAGCAGATGGAAGGTCCTTGAAGCCAACAACTGAGATTAAGGGTGGAGATAATGCCTAAATTCTCTAACAAAGCCAGAAGCTGCCCCTGACAGCTCTGGGTTTAGGATGCTCATTGGGCACAACTACCCTCCTGTGTTCCCTCTACATACACAGTCACATTCCTCATGGTGTTCCAAGGCCACATCAGTGAGTGATTTATGCAGTCCTCTGACTCCAGTCTTTGGTCTCAACTGAAGGACCTATAAGAAAACAGCATAAGCCATCTTAAAAATCTGTTTATATCTGTATGTTTGATTTTATATCTAAGTGTCATTTCAAAGAAAAAACTTGAGGCCCAAGAAGGAAATCTGATTTGTAAAGTTCCAATAGTGAAGGCATCTTGTAAATATTACTCCATCTTCCCAAATCACAGTCTTAGCATCGTTTTATGAAAGCACTTCAAAGTCAACAATTTGAAAGCACACTGTCATTATTTTTCTTCTGTAAATATACTTGAGAAACTTTTACCTCAAGTATTTTGAAACTGTTGATGCACAATTTGTTTTTCTGTTTGTTACCTTCTTCCTCTCATTCCTTTATTCACAGTGAACAAATATTTACACTTGGTGCAATACATTAAATACAGGAATAGTGTGGAGGGAAACATGATCCCCTGCAGCTGAGCTTGCTCAATTATGCCACTCATTAATTTTCTTGGCTACACTTCAAGTCCTCTATAAACTTGATGAGATGGATTAGATGTACTTCATAGACATCAGCAGCCTCAGTCACAGCTAACTTTCGGCAGCTGGATCCCACTGTGTGGAGTTAAAGGAAGTCTAGCAACCAAAACAATAATGCCTCTATTAAAGGAAGTAGCTTACAGTTCAGATTGCTGAGAATTTTTAGTAAGAAATACAGCAAAACAGACACTCAAGCTAAACATATTTCCTTTTAATACTGTTGACAGAAGGATTTAGCTGTATATTCTATTGAGGATTATCTGAAGTATTTGATGTCATTCACTATTCAAGTATAGTGTATTTTATTGCTTACAATAGAAATTATAAAGCTTCAAAAGTTGTGTTATTTGTACTCTGTGAACAAAGGACATTAAAGGACACAAAACCATCCAGCTTCTCTATCTGCTGTGTCTGTGATAACTTCATGCAGCAACCTTGAAACGCTACCACTGCTCTAAGTGTTCATTAATCCACAAAGACACAAGTCAAATCTTATGACTGGTTTTATTTGAAGATTTAAAAGAAGACTAGAGAATGCATACTTCATTTGGTGAATGTGATTCGATCAGACCTTAATTAGCTAACATTTTTTGAATACTTACTGGATACTAGGAACAAAAGTAATGCTTTCATATACTTTAACTCACAAGAATCAAAATGCACAATTATTACCTCTAATTTCTACACAAGTGAACAAAGACTTAGAAAGACTAAGAGACATAGTTGTTATTCTTACCTAGACCAAATATGAATAATTAAAGCAAAAGTGGTAGATCACAATTTTATAAAGATTCAAGATGACCAATCATATATTGTACTCATTTAAATAAGAACTTTTGTTCCCTAATGAGATAAACTTCAAAGTCTTACAATAACTAGCAGAAATAGGAAACTTTCAAAGTAGGCTTTTCCATCTATTATAACTCACAATTCTAAAATCAAAATTATTAAGATATATTACTTTAATGTTAAAATCAGTCTGGTAAATATTGAATATGGTTGTACGTCAGTACTTGTTTTTTGAATGAGAGTGTCATAAAATGAATTAAATTTAATTTAATAGTGGTGATATTCCTTATTACTTCATACCAAATTGTTTCTGGAATGGGGCTGGATAAAATAAAATGCAATATCAGCAGCACAGCCATTGTCTTCAGGACCTGCCTTCATCTGTATAAATTTCTCATTCAACAAGAAGAACATATAGAATGACAGATAAAGTTTGAGAGACCATCATCCTGACAGCCTAAGTGATACCTCTTGCTTGCCCTCACATGCTCTGCCCAGATATGTCTGTTGAAGAAAAGCTTTTTGTATTGGTCTATAATGTTTCCAGAGGTATACAAATACTAGAATTTCAGAATGTTTGATTACCTTTAAAGAGTTGAGTGGGAAATTCTAAATAAAGGAGGGAGATATAATTAATGTTTCATTTTACATTGCAAAAGTGCAAGTTCAACTTTGTAAGACAAAAATAGACTTGGAAAATGATTAGGAGGTCTCTGATATTAAAGAGGGAGGAGGTAGATTATGATACCAGATAAGAAACAAGGTACAGCTCACAAAGCTTAGAATATAATTCAATGGCAAAGTGATTGTCTATCATGAACAAGTCCTTTGTTGTGGTTTTGTTCTAGTTTAAAAACAAAATGTTCTCCATAAGCTCATTGTTAGGAATATGGTCCTCAGATAGTGTGTTTTTTTGACGGTGTTGGAAACCTTTCAAAACCATACCTGGAAGATAACAAGTTCATAATAGGAATCTGAATTAAGAATAGAGTAGAAAAGTTGGAAAAACTCAGAGTATACCCAGAAATGAAGTGTTGAGACTGAGGAAAGTGCAGCTTATGAGGATAAAAGAGACATTAGAGGGGGCTGGGAAGGTGGCTCAGTGGTAGAGCGCTTGCCTTGTATGCATGAGGCCCTGGGTTCGATTCCTCAGCACTACATAAGCAAAAAAAACAAAACAAAACAAAACAAAAAACCAGAAGTGGCGCTGTGGCTCAAGTGGTAGAGTGCTAGCCTTGAGCTGAAGAGCTGAGGGACAGCACCTAGGCCCAGAGTTCAGGCCCCTCAACCAGACCAGAAAAAAAAAAAGAGGGAGAGAGACATTAGAGAAGAGTCAAGTACTTTGCAGAGTTCAGGCCCCTCAACCGGACCAGAAAAAAAAAGAGAGAGAGAGACATTAGAGAAGAGTCAAGTACTTTGCATCAGAATAATAGGAATAATGATTTGGAGATATCTCTGGAATTGGCCATACTCTATTCATACCAACCTGAATGGTGTACATGTTTTACTTATTTTGAGATTTGGATTTAAGAAGAGAGTAACTAGGTGCTCGCTCACACAGAGCTTTCTGGGGATATATTTCTTCAAGTTCAGTCATCCAGGCACTCAGAGGTCAATACGACTGTGTTCTGAGGAAGCCTGGCAATAGCTCAAGTTGTCAGTAGATTGTGGCATCATACACATGATGTTGGGTTTGCAAGCATACATAATTTCTAGAGTTACAGGGCCTTAGAGACTGCTACTGATATTTAAAATGAAGAGCATATGAAGGTCCAGTTTCTTGAAAGCAGTCTTTGAGCAGGCTTACAGAGTGAAGCTAAAGATGCAATGGATCCAAAGAAATGAGGTGCCGAGAAATGAAATACCTCTGGAGGAAAGCTTCACTCACGTATGATGCAAAGCCAGAGCAAAGGAGAAGCTCTATGTGCCACAAATGACAAGCTTTAGGCACAGGACTTCCTGAAACTTTAGGAGTCCACATTCCACCATTATGTATCCCTGATTTGGGACATAAAAAGCTACTGGTTTCCAGGTTGCCATCTAGGGTTTCAATATGACTTTGGTTTGATGTTTGCTATTTTCTTATTCCTACCTTTTAGGATAGGAATGTTTATTTACTCTGTACCATTTTAGATTTGAAGTGTATATCTTTATTTTTATTTTACAAGGGCTCTCAGCTAAGTTTCCCTTGCATCTCAGAGGAGACTTTAAACTTGAAATTTTCAATAAAGTAAGAACTATCTAGCCTTAGACACCATTTGAAATGGAGTAAGTGGATTTTGCATTATAAAATAACCAGGAGCATTTGCAGGCCAGTGGTAGGATGCTATTATTTGAACATAAAATGTCTCCATAGGCTCATGTGTTCAAAGTTTGGTCCCCAGATGGAAATGCTATTTGGGGAGAAAACGTAAACTTAAGGGTCCAGGGTCTCACTGGAAGCAGAAAATCACTGGGGCAGATCCTTGATACTATCTTTCCCTAGCTCCTTTCTCTATTCACATCTCTGCTTCTTGGGTACCATAATATGCTGCTGTGCTCTGCCATACTACTGACACCAAGAGCAAAATAAATCTTTCTTTCTTTTAAGCATGTTAGGCACTCGATAACAGTAATAATTAAGTCAACTAACACCATGAAAGGATCAATCAATCAGTAAATAAAAATAGTTTGAAGAAGCATGTCCCAAGGAAATCCGTGCTTGAGAGTGTGAAAGAGCAACAAACTAAGAGTCACCAAGCACAGAGACTCAGCACATGCAAACCTGAACTTGTTCAGGTCAGTGATTGGGAATGGGATTCCTTTCCAAATTCTGGTACAAACTTTCCCCAATGGATCTAAGGTTAGCAGAGTAAAACTATTTTAAAAAAAGAAGAGCCAGGAGCCAGTCAATCATGTGGGTAATCCTAGCTACTCAGGAGGCTGAGATCTGAGGAAAATGGTTCTCAGCTAGCTTGAGCCGTAAAGTCCATGAGACTTTTATCTCCAATGAACCACCAGAAAACTGGAAGTGGTGCTGTGGCTCAAAGTTGTAGAGAACTAGCCTTGAAGAAAAATCTCAATTAAATCTCTATGACTGAAAAGAAAGAAAAGAAAGAAAGAGAGAGAGAGAGAGAATTAACCATATGAATATATCAACAATATGAATGTCATTTAATTATCATACATTTAGAAGAACAACTATAGTCATATTACCTGTAGGTAAAATATGGCTATAATCATCCTATGCAAAGTTTGGTGATCAATGCTTTTTTGGAAGACAGCTACTGAGTCTGAAAGTTTTGCTGATGGTTTTAAACTAAAGAATTTTTCTGAGGCTTAAAAATAGGTATTATATACTTGGAGCCAAAGTTTTACCTAAAACTAATATTATTTAATAAAGAACTGTAGAAGAATAGGATGGAGGGAATTATTGTTGACCTGGGGCTTGACCTGGAACCACAGCATGATGCATTCTCAGCATATGATAAGCTTGTAATTAAAAAAAACAAACATAGTGTCAAGTCTGGGTTTCTAGGTCTAAGAATGGTGGTCATAAAGTGCTAGACCTAAACCCTAACTCAGGTTCTCAAGTCCACCTACTTCAGCAAATTCAAGGTTGAACAACTTTAGGTGTGAAAACATCACAATCACAGATAAGTTCATATCCTTATCACATCTCTTAGGTTACACCAGGCGACTCTAATACCAGCCCAGCATCTGAGGCACTTCAATTTTAATACTCTCTAAGAGCTAACAACCTAAATTGTTTTTCTTGCTAGTATTTTACCTCAGGGCCTGGTGCTTGTTCAAATTGTACTTTACCACTTGACCTATGCTCCCAGCCCTGCTTTTTTGTTGGTTCATTGGAGATGGACCATTTGAAAAATGATCAAACAGAACTCAGGCTCCTGAATAGCTAGATTATATGTATGAGTCACTGCCATTCACCTATTTTTTTTTTCTTTATTGAGTTCCCACTGGATGGTACAACAGTGAGGCTGGCCAGCAGGAGCTGGGAGACACCAAGTCTGTAACTTCAAACTGGGGCAGAAATTCATTTTCCTGAGGACATTTAGGAGTATTACACGACAGTACATTGTCTGTAATAGTTAACAACCAGTGGCTGATTTTGATCTGTTTTCCAAAAAGATTGTGATTTAGTAACTCTCATGGAACAAGAAAGCCAGGAAAAGCTGAGGTATTAGCCTATTTTATAGAATCCAAGTATACCCCTGCCAGTCACAGTCTTCACAAAGAGAAGTTCTAAACTTGAAAACACCTTGGTAATGTCATAACCCTTGTTTCTCTCTCTCTAAAGAATATGCTACTTCTCTTTTCCAAACACAAATCAATTTTAGATTCACTGTTCCATCCGAAGTCACACATAATAAATGAAGCCACGAACACAGTCATGTACCCACCTCGTGATATTTCTTGGTGACTTTGCTGGGGACACACTGACATTCATTGCAGTTGTGGAGACAGCAGGCACAGTTTCCTCCACAACGTTTCACCAGGAGACAACCTGGCCAGAAAATGGTGTCGGTTCTCTTTAGCTCTTCCCGTATGGACACTGAGAAGTTCCGAGGTGTGCAGCTGTATAATCTTACCTCCTCTTTCAGGAGGTTCAGATCCACAACTAAGACAGAAAAAAAGCAAAGAAACTGTAGATGTTTATGTCTGAATGTGCATTTATTTCATAAAACTCTTTCATAGAGAAAGCAATAACTCTAACAATATCCCTTGTTAGTTGAGTGACATTATAGGGCTCTACACTCACCAACTGGACTTTCTTTTTCCTAGAAAACAAAGCTTCATTATGACTTAGGGATGAACAAAGGGATGCCATTGTGCAATATTAAGATCAGAGCCAACTAAACAGTTGAGAGTTATAAATAGGAAACTTGACAGAGAGGGTGAGGGCTACACCTTTGAACCTTAGTAAAAAAGCAGACAAGGAGAGCTTTGGAATGAAGTCTAGAATGTTAAACTGAATGCTTTGAATAAATAACAAATGCACTTTTTAAAAGGATTAGAGCCTCAGACAAAGACGAGCAATTTTTAATCTTGTCACTAGAATTTTCTATAAACTATATAGCCAAGAAGCTCATCACATACAAAAAGAGAATGGAGGAGGTATCTTTCTGAAGAGAGCTGATTATAAAATGCTGTATTTTAGAAAAGCAGAAGTTGCTAGAAAGAACAAATGTGTTAGGATATGGTCTTTGAAATTTACTAGTTTCCTTCCGATTTTTATCTTCCGCATGCTAAAGAAAGAAGTCTAGTTTTGTTATAACCATTGTCTCTACTCTTGTACCAACTTGGTTAACTATGTTGCATCTTTTTTCTTTTTAAGATTATCTACTTGTAAAGATCAAACAAAATAGCCTTTTATTAGATAGGTGTAGTGAATCCTTAAAGAAACATTGCTATTAAATCAAAATAATAAAGCTTCAGGAAAATCATAGCAAAGTAACATTTTTTAAATCATCTATTCAGACACAGTTCTTTCTGTTTTAGTTTTTTTTAAAAAACTTAGGAATGCTATATAAAATATAATGCATCTAGTTAAATATCTTTAATAGCTCTGGAAACATGATAAACTTGTATGAAAGTATTTTCTAGGTTAAGCATTGTCATTTTAAAAATACAGATGTAAAAATCAACTGCTACTGTTTGTTTTTAATCTTAAAAAATAAAAGTAATTAAGAATCAAATAATTGTTGTTTTAAATTTATTAGAGCTGTCTCCCAAATTGTCAAAGGAAGACAGTTTTAGTGTACCTGAGAACTATATTACAAAAATGTGCATATGTAATGATTCTTTCTAAACATGAGTGGCTGGTTAAAACCTAGGTTAATGCAGGGATGGGAGCTTTACTTGGTACATCATGGGTCCATTTCAACAATTTTAAGCTGAAAATTAATTTTTCCAATTTGATAGACTAAATCACAGTTTTCTTTGAGTCATGATTTTGTAAGCAATCTTTTGACTGCAAACTTTATTTTTTTGTCATTTGTGGGGCTTGAACTCAGGGCCTGGGCATACTCTCTGCTCTTTTGCTCAAAGCTAGCTATCTACCATTTCGAGTCACTGCTCAGCTTTTGATTTTCTAGTGGTTGCTTGAAGATAAAGAGTCTCACAGACTTTCCTACTCAGGCTGGCTTTAAACTGTGATCCTTAGGTCTCAGCCTCCTGAGCAGCCAGGATTACAGACATGAGCCATCCGTGTCTAGTGAATACAAAACTATTAAAAATTTAAAAGCAAATACCTTTTTTTCTCTCAAATACACTGAAAAAAAATCTCTAAGTGAAATGAATGAGATGATTATCTTAAATGACATCACATATTTTCCATTTTGCAGAATTAACCATGGATATGCAAATTTCTATTTTATTATTAAAACTATACATGATCTTATGCAGATCTTTTCTCTAGAAGGTAATATCTAGGTGAGATGAGAGAAAGAATACACAATACAAAAGCTACAATTGTTAGTGGACATTAAGATAAAAAAATTTATCCCTTTTCAGAAGGTGAATGAAGCTTAAAGCTTTCAAAAGATACTGAGGTACTCTAAATTATAGTTTTAAACATGGTATTTGGTGAAACTAGAAAATCAGAGAGCATATGTTCTTAAATGTTTACTTAACCACAATAAAAAGCTAGATATATTTCCCAAATGAACTGAGTCATGATACCTGCTACAATGTGAACATTTAAACACACTTTCAACTTAATTTCCACTCATTCATCACATTTGACACACAAGGTACAGGGTTTTTTGTTTTTTTTTTTGTTTGTTTGTTTTCTGGTTTTTTTAGTCCTAGTGAAGCTAGACTTAGAACTAAGCATCTTATTTTATTCTATTCTGCAGTAACAATAAATGATGACCAGAAAAAGAAATAAAAAGAAAAGAAGCTGAAATATAGGACAGTAGTCCATATTGGGATGGAAAGAATTGAGTATAAATTTGCACATTGTCTTGAAATTCATGCTTCCTGCTCCTGAGTTCTCAAGAAAAACAAACTTTTATATCACGCAACAATAATCTTGTATCAGAAATTCAGAAGAGCATCTAGGCAAAAAGGAAGGAAAGGGAAGTAGAAGATAAGGAAAGAAAGGAAAGGAACAGAAAGTAGAAACATCCTCCCTCAAAGAAAAAATTTGATAGTGCAACTCTAGTAATCTCAAGGCAGTTTGCTTCTAGCAAATAATAAAAAATACTCAGCTTTTAGATCCTGCTTTTCATAACTACTTCCTGAGATAATACACGTATTAGTTTGTCTTTCCAAAGATTTTAAACATTATCACAAAGCAAAATCATGATTTCAAAGCAAATGCCATCACCAGTGTAAGTTTTAGCGGAAGGATAATACTGTCAAAGAAAAATATAGCCGCACTTGGCTTTGTTAGTTCCTTCTTTTAAAATATGCAATCCAAGGATATTGTGTTACCATAATGGAATCTCAGGGTGGTCTTTCCAAGATGAATGTGGTAATGCTGTGATATGTTTATTCTGGGGAAAATCTATTTTGATGTCTAATTAGAAGCTTTTAAAAGTTTTTCTACTGTTCCTTTGTAGAAAGTATCTTAAGCAGGCGGTCCGTTTCGTCTGTATTGCTGTTATCCCACACCTGCATTTTGGTTTATGTAAAGTTCCAAAAATATACACTGCTTTTCTCACACTTACTGTATGATTTAAAAGTTAATAGTTCTGGCAAACTGCAAAAAGTTTCAATTTTGAAGGTGTTCAATGAAAACTTGAAAGATATGGTTGGTTCAGTGTTGGAAGCTTTTAAATACATGCTTGCCTCTGGCCAAAACTTGGAGCTGTAGGTATAAAGGAATGGCTGGAAGGGAGGATTTTTAGGCTGTGATCCAGAAATCAGATGTCAAAAAATTAGACGAGCTTAGAATTCATTTCACTGCCCTGCTTCTTACAGATCCACACGATAATCTACTTCACATTTGCTAACAAGGGTCTTATTCACACCATTTCAGCTACTCTGGCAGACGTGCATCTTCCTGTTCCCAAGTGGGAGGAAGGGAAGAGAAGTGTTGTTGGTAAGTTATCCATCAAGTATTCATCAAGAAGAAATCTTATAAATATGTAACAGTGTTTAGCATCTGGATGGGATTCGGCTGCCCATGCCCTTGAACACTGACTTCATATATTGCCAAAAGGAAACCACTAGCAAAATACCATAGCTGGGCAAGTCTGAACATGACCTGCTGAGACTAAATCTCAGGATCCAAGAGGGCTGCAAATCAGTTCTGGGAAGAGCAGGGATCAGATTTCTTTCTGACAACTTAGAACAAGTCTGGTGCAATCTGCCGTGGGAATGGCTCAAATTAACTGTGCATTGTTCCTTCTATAAATTCTCCAGACTGTCATTTTATTTTAAAAGTGATCCTTGGGTAGATTTCAGTGTTGCTGATAGACCAAAACAGATCCTTGTAAGTGTATTATAATTACAATTATACAGTTATTTCTATTACATTTTTATGTCTGATTTGAACATGTCCCAACTGTACTGTCACTAGAATCCTTTCAGAAAAATCTGTTGACATTTTTTTTCAATTTTTTAATGATGTGGAATTAAATTTATCATTTCACTTTTATAAGGAGATTTATCCATTTCGTCAAAAGTGATCATTTCAAATACAAAGTTACTCAAACACAATTCTCCTGGTAACTTTTCCTTTAGGTCATTGTTTCCTTGCTATGAATTCTGCCTTGGAAACTTCTAACTCTTTTATTTTGGTACATGGTTATTTTCCATACTATTTAGATGTTCTAGGCTTATGAAATATAAACAGATATGGCCTTGAGCTAGGGGAGACAGGGTCATCTTTCATCTTTAGTTTTACAGATATAGTACCCCCATTTTCTAGCCTGAGCCTGAGTGTTGCATCTCTGACCATTTCGCTTGAGTCTTTAAGTTTAAAAACTTCAAAGTAAGGCCATGTACTGGTGGCCCATGCCTGTAATCCTAGCTGTTCAGGAGGCTGAGATATGAGGATCATGATTCCAAGCCAGCCCATGCAGGAAAGTCCATGATACTCTTATCTCCAATAAACTATCCCCAAAAGCTGGAACTGGAGCTGTAGCTCAAGTAGTAGAGCACTAGCCTTGAGCTAGTCCAGGAATTGAAGCCCCAAGAATAGACACACACACACACACACACACACACACACACACACACACACACACACACACACACATATCCAAAGTTAGTTGGAATGGGTTTTTGAAAGACAATGAAGAATATCATCAAAATGGCATTTGGGAAGATAAGAAAAGACAGGATGATAAGTAAAATGAACCCCAAGATATGGACACAGGATGTCTTTCTTTGTCATTTTTGGTTCTAATGTATTATGTAAGGTTTTTTTTTTTTGTTTCCTTTGTATATTCCTCCCCCTATGGTATATCCTCTATAATCACTGTACTTGATTTTGGTACCCTGCATCATGTATATACATTTAACTAATTTGGAGAGGGGAAAGGGAATAATAAAACACTGAAACAAGGACACAGGATGACCAATTGCAACAATGATACCCACAAGACACTATATTGGAAATGAACTTTACAACTTTGGGAGGGAAGGCAGAGGATGGGAGAAGAGTGAGGGAGGGGGGGCAGAAAGGAATAGTGGGAGAAAAACAAGGGAAGGGATAACAATGCTAGACAAGAAATGTATTCATTGCCTTACTCATGTAAATGTAACCCCTCTCTACAGCATCTTTACAATAAAATAAAATAAAAGAATGAAAAAAGGCAGGAATTTTCAACAGAAGTACATCTTTTAATTTTCCAAACTTGATTTACCTTTGATCTCTATTCTCATTATATAAGTCTGTTTAAATGATAAGAAACTGGATTGTTGGAATATGCCCCTGAAGAATATTAAACTTTCCCCACAGAAGAATCTGCAATTGGCTGCTAAGAAAATTAAATGAGGCTCTACTCTGAAGAAGGAGCTTACCTCTGGATTTTCTTCCGAAAACAAAAGCCTTGCCAAGAAGCTGCCACGTTGGCCTATACAGATCTTCTAAGTCCAGCTGCCATCTGTCTGGTTCAAGATAGCGAATAAGATCTTCCAAGGTACTAAAGGCAGTAACCGCATTATTAAGCAGGTCCAGTGGTAAAGCTGAAGGGGGTAACACTGTAGGACTCACAGCTTCTGTGACTTGCTGAAAGTAAAACAATCCTCAGTTAACTTTTAAAAATGACAATGTATGCAGCAGTAGTACACAGTAGACACTATGTTGAAAATAAACTACACAACTAGTGGGTGGGTCTGAAGGGAAAAACTGGGAAAGAGCTAAGGAAGGGGTGGCATTGTCCCATAAGACATGTACTCATTACCATACTCATGAGATGGTAACTGCTCTATACATCCCCTTTATAATAAGAACTAACCATTAATTTAAAAAATGATGATGTATTCCTTCTCTCTTCATGGACCAACTTGCATTGACTAAGGATTAAAATACATGGATAGTGAAACTATGCTCAATCCAACTAAAAAATAATTATTTTGTGAAGAATACATGTGGATTATCTCTGATAGGTGTTGTGAAAAATGAGAACCATATCAATTTCCAATACAATAATTCATGGTGGATGTGTATATCTTTATATATATAAAAATTAAAGACATTTGCATGGTTTAACTAGAGACTCATAATGGAAGAAACAATATGATTTGCCAAAGTTTTCTTCTTTTCATTTTCCTCAGTTTGGAAAATGGCTATGAAAGTTAGTTATGAAATTAGTGTTGGATGAGTTCAAAATTTAGTGTCAGCTACATAAGAGGCAGAGATAGGAAGACCATGATTCACAGCTAGTCCAGATACAAATGTAAGACAATATTTAAAAGTAATTAAGCATAAAGGGCTGTGGGTATGTGTGATTCAAGTGTTAGAACATTTGCCTACCAACCATAAGGTCCTGCCTGAGTTCAAACTCCGGTACTAAAATACATAACTGAATGAATTAATAAATAAAAGAATAGAAAATAACCCATAACAGCTAGAATGAAATGCAAGTAAAAATGTATAACATTATTAGAGAATTTCTTAATTAAGACAGAAAATATCTAAACTACAAGATCAGCCTGATACATTTGTCTATAATATGGTTTGAAAATAAGTTTTTTGTTTTTGGTTTTTGTTGGCCATAGGGCTTGAACTCTGGGCTTGGGCGCTGTCTCTGCACTCTTCAGCTCAAGGCCAGCACTCTACCGCTTGAGCCACAGCACCACTTCTGGTTTTCTGGTGGTTTATTGGAGATCACTGGTTTTCTGGTGGTTAATTGGAGATAAGATTCTCACAGACTTTTCTGCCCCACCTGGCTTTGAACCACAATCCTCAGATCTCAGCCTCCTGAGTAGCTAGGATTACAGGTGTGAGCCACCGATTCCCGGCTTGAAAATAAGCTTTAATAAACAGGATTAAAAGACATGAGAGGCACTGGTAGAGTATTTTGTTAAGCCATATAATTGTCATAAGAGTATTGTCCAGAAAACAGCAAAAAAAAAAAAAAAAACAAAACAAACCTAAAGGGCAAACTCCAAACAAGAAGATGGAATGATCAATGTATAAGAAAATGACCTAAAATTCCTGTACTAAAAACTGGAAGAACAAAGAACCCATTAGTCTTGGGTTGTGCCTACATGAGTGTGAGGCACAGCCATGTCTGCTGCCTTAACTGAATGCACTAGACACAGAAACTTACATGTCTTGTGTCCCTGAAACTAATTTGAGGTCCATATTCTTTTATTTATACACACAGAATTATGTGTAATGTTAGTCATCACAGCTTTGTTTGAAACCAGGAAGCAATTTATATGTTCATACATAGGGGAATGAATTAAAATATCAGGAGACTAAAGGAGAAGCACTGAAGTAAGACAATTATTTCAACAGAGGCGGGAGAGTTTTAATAGACTGTTCAAAGATATTTGAAAATTATCTTTTCTCCTAATTTTGAATGTGAATTAAAGATAGGGAAACAAAGCAGAGATAAAAGTAAAACAATGTTGCCTGTGGCTCACACCTATAATTCCAACTGGGGAGGTTGAGAATAGGAGGATTGAAGTTCAAAGCCATTCCAGCAGAAAAGTTAGCAAGACTCTTTTTCAGCCAACATGGCTCAGAACAATGATGTGTGCCTGTCATACTAAGTAAGCTACATGAGATGTTGAGATTTAGAGAATGTGGTTCCAGGTCAGGCATGACAAAAAAAAGTTCTCAAGACTCTATCTCCAGGGAAGAGAAGCTGAACATGGTGGTGTGCACCTGTGATCCCACCTATAACAGGTGTTGGCTCAGATGACAGCTCATGCAGGAAGTGAGACCCTGTTCCTAAAAGCAACCAGTGAAAATTAGGGCTGGAGATGTGGCTCCATGGAGTCTCATCAAAGAGCAAGGATGATGCTTGCGTTAAACTCCAGTACTGCTAAAGGAAGAAAAAGACAAAAATAAATTTTAAAAAGTAATCTTTTCAGGGGCTGGGAAGGTGGATCAGTGGTAGAGGGCCTGCCTTGCATGCATGAGGCTCTGGGTTCAATTCCTCAGCACCACATAAACAGAAAAAGCCAGAAGTGGTGCTGTGGCTGAAGTGGTAGAGCACTAGCCTTGAGCAAAAGAAACACAGGGACAGTGCCTAGGCCCAGAGTTCAGGCCCCACGATGAACAAATAAGAAATGCACTCGTTATCTTGCCCATGTAATTGTAACTCCTCTGTATGGTATTCTCACAATAAAAAAAAATTTTTTTAAATGTTTTCAATAAAACTGAATCCATATATTCAAATAAATATAGGACAAGAAGTACAGAATAAAACTGTGTGTTAATTGATGTTTATAGCAATATTTAGAATAACAAAAATTGGGGAAATGTGAATTAATAATAACGGAATAGTTTAACAATAAACTATTTGATGCAGTGTAACTCCATCAAAAATGGAACCATGGGCAGCTATTTTAAAAAGCTCATTCCAGGCACTCGTAGCTTACTCCTGTAATCTGAGCTAGTTAGGAAGCTGAAAACTATCAGAGTTCAAAACTAACTCAGGCAGAAAAGTGTGAATGACTTCATCTCAATTAAGTAGCAAAAAGCTAGAAGCAGAGGTGTGGCTCAAGTGTCAAAATGTCAAAGTGCCAGTATTGAACTTAATAATCTCAGTGGAAGTTGGAGGCTCTGAGTTCAAGTCCCAGTATGGCAATACATACATACATACATACATACTTACATACATACATACATACATAAATTTAATTATACAAAAACATCCTTGCCAGGCAGTGGTAGCTCATACTTGTAATCCTAGCTACAGAGAAGGCTGAAATCTGAGGATCATGGTTCAAAGACAGTCTAAGACAGTCCAGGCAGGAAAACTTGTGACATTCTACTCTCCAAAAAGCCAAAAATCCATGAGAGGAGCTCTGGTTCAAATCACTGAACAACAGTCTTGAGCAAAAAAGCCAAGGGACAGCCCCCTGGTTCTGAGTTCAAGCACCAAAACGAGTATAACACACACACACACACACACACACACACACACACACACACACACTCCCTTAAGATAGTGTGATTTCAGCCAGATGCCAGTGGCTCATGCCTGCAATCCTAGCTACTCAGAAGGCTGAGATCTGAGGAGGATCATGGTTTGAAGCGAAACTTTTTTTTAATATGTTTTTTTTATTGTGAAAATACCATACAGAGATAATGAGAACATTTCTTATCAAGCATTGTTGCCTCCTCCTTTGTTTCCCCTTAACCATCCCTGCCCTCTCATCACCCCTCTCCTAACCCTCCCATCTTCGCCAAAGTTGTAAAGTTCGTTTATTGACATAACATTTTGTACATCTCATTGTTGCAATGGGTCAACCTGTATTCCTATTTAAACAATTTGTTTTTTCCCTTCCACTCCCCAAATTATACCAACATCAAATATAGTGAAAAAGGGTTATATCGTGGCGGAGGGACACACAAAGCAACAAAGAAATCATCTTATAAATATGTTAGAAACAATAGCAAGAAAGAAAAGCCACTTTAGTCCTTTTCTTGGGGTTCATTTCATCTAACATCATCTTATTTGACCTTTTCTGCTTGTCTCAGACATATACTAGTTATTGCAAATAAGGGAAACCATGGGACCTATGCTTCTTTGGGCCTGGCTTACTTCACTTAATATAATTTTTTCCAAGCCTTTCCATTTCCTAACAAATGGGGCAGGAAACTTTTTTTATTTCTTTTTTTTCTTTATTTTTATTGTGAAAATACTGTACAGAGGGGTTACAATTACATGGGCAAGACAATGAGTACATTGCTCATCAAGCATTGTAGCCTCCTCCTTTGTTTCCACTTCCCATCCCATACTCTCCCCATCTCTCCACCCAACCCTCCCCCCACCAACTTTTATCTCCAACAAACTACTCCCAAAAGCCACGAGTGGTATTGTGTCTCAAGTATTCACCTTGGGCAAAAGAAGCTCAAGGACAGTTCTGTGTGTGTGTGTGTGTGTGTGTGTGTGTGTGTGTATACTGTGATTTTAATAGGCATATATTGAAACAAAAATCAAGTGTATAGTTTAGCAATAAGAACAGTGAATTTTATTCTTTTCATCACACAAATCCATGCTATCATCATTTTTTAATAACCATTAACTGCTTGAGAAAGTTAAAAAATAAAACTTATCCTAAAACGATCCTATCAGCTCTTCCTTCTCATTCTCATTACTTGGCTCCTGAACCAGAGACTTAAATATGTGTACTATACATATCAACTTGGAACCTGGTCTTGCTGCCTTCTCTCTTTACTCCTTTTATTCTATGTTGGATAACTCTGGGTTAATCTGTTAAAATAAGATATCACTGATCCTGTGATGCATTTGGACAAATGCCTATAAGCTTTCTCATCGGGAGGATAAAATCCAAATTCCTCACCCAGCATCCTGGCCCCCACGACCTCACCTCTGTTGGCCTTCCCATCTAATCCCCTCGTCAGCACACTCATGCACATTCTGTTCCTATCAATCTGTTCTCTTCATTAAATACCACACATGTCAGGTTCATCTCCAACTTTGTGCCACTATCCATGCTAAATGATGCCCTTATCCTCCACAGGCAAAACCCTCCCTTCTTGCTGATCCACATTATAAATCTTTAACCAATTATAATGGCCTT